ACCATGGTGTAGCCGGAGGACAGCTAGTTTCTGTCCTCCTCTGGGTACATTGACTTCAATACAAAACCAAAGAGGCTCATGGTTCTCACCCCCTTCCATAGACTTACACAGTAATTCTGACAACTTCCGGAGGACATTCTCCAACCTATCAGAGCTCTTGCAGCATGAACTGACATGTTGTTGACCCAATCAAAGGATCAGAGAATGCATCTAGTACTGAAAACATAAACTACAGCTAGCTAGCACTGCAGTGCATAAAATGTGGTGAGTAGTTGACTCAAAGAGAGAGAATGACAATAGTTGAACAGTTTTGAACAAATTAAATTTTTTTTTAAATGAAGGAGAAACAAGAGAAAGAGAGAGAGCTAGCTATATTTCGTTGTATTTTCTTTAAAAACTTTCACTTAGCTAGCGTATGCCACTAGCTAATTTAGCCTACTCAAACACCCGGCTCAAACAGAGAGGGATGCTATGTTAGCTAGCTGGCTATGGCTATCCGACACTGGTCAAGGTAAGCTTTTGGTTTTATTAATTTATTGCCACTGGGGCCTGCCGGTGTAACTGCTAAACTGCTTGCTGACTGTACACTGTACTGCATGATTGTAGCGGGTTTACTAACGTATTAGTTCTAGTATATATGTTGTCTAAGAAGTTACCTAATATGGTGACAACGATGTAGGCTGTGTGTAGCAGTTAGCGGTTATGATATGAAGGTTTGGCTTGGAAAGGGTTTTTCGCCTGGTCACAGACAGCTGATGTGTGAAGTCCACAAGCGAAGGGAAAAGGTGAGAGGAGGAGAGCGCGTAGATGCGAGAAGGAATTTATACAATGAGCAAAATTATCATGCTGTTTGTTTGTGATGATGTGAACTGTGTTTGCGTGTGATCAGGGGTGTATTCATTCCGCAGATTCTGTTGACAAATGTTTCTTAGACAGAAGCAAACGGAGATAAACATAACAGAATTTGTCCAATAGAAACTCTTGTTTGCAACTTTTGGACTAATGATTACCACCAATATCAGCTAGAATCAGGCAAGAGTGTGCAAGGCGGTATTGAATGTATGACTGTCTGTCACCTTGATTTCTCTACACTGTAAATTTCCTTCATAGGCTAGGTTGTAGCAACCTCATGATGGGTATAGGGAAAATTTGAGTATCATGTAATAGACTAAACGTATCGCTGTTACATTGAGCTGGGTGAATGGAATATGAATGACAGTCATCCAATATGCTGTAATAGAAATAAGGCCATGCTCATAAAACATTTTATCGTCCTCCCTCATCTTAAACGTCACCGACCGCCACTGGTGAACACTTATCCTGCAGTGTGCTGCATAGGTGGTAGCCTAATAACAGATATTATAAAAACAGATTTAATGAATTTCATAAATATTAAGATGAAAATAGTCTCATCATTTATGTGTACTCTGCTCAAGGCAGCGACAGGAGGGCACCAATAAAGTGTGCCAAGACATCAGACAACTATTCTGGGAATTGCGGAAAATTTTCATAGGGTTCTTTAGGGACAAACAGTAGGGGCATGAAAAGAGTCCATAAAGAGTTGACTGGTTCTACTATTGCAGTGCGAGGCTGTGGGGAATATTGCACGGTTGCCACACTGGCAGTGGAAGTCTGTGTGTGGGATACCAACAAATAGGGAGAGTAAGAGAGAGGCTTGCCAACATCACAACTGGGTGGGTGTGTGTGTGGAGGAGGAAGAGTGATGAGGTTAGAGAAGGAGGCTGCACATGTTTGATCCACTATGTAGAGCTGCATGGCAGACTTATTCTAACTCTGATATTCTCATGTTGTATTTAAAAATGTGCGTTTTAAATGGAAATTGAGAATAGTTTGTTGTTGCATTTCCTACTTCAGAATATGTACCCTATGGGTTGTAAACTCTATAGGCTACATGTTCTGAAGTGCAGTGTTGGGGTCAGAATTGAATTGAGTGGTAAATTGCTCTTTCATTCCAATTCAATTTTTGAGTATGAATTCAACAAATCCCACAGGACGCAGAATTTGAAATAATTTCCAGACTACTGTAATTCTTAAAAAAGTTCGTATTGGGAATTCCGTGACATGTTTCTTATTTATTGCATGTGAGTGAATTGAAATTGTCACTGTTATAAATACCACATTATCATTATAAAACCAGCAATGCAAATATGATAACTCTCTTCCAACTAAACACAGCTGGAAACTATGTTAACATAATAATGATTAACTCTCTAAGGGAGTACAGGAATGAGGCACTAACCACCACTACACTTATTTTTCAGGAGTTAGGGATTGTTGGCCCATATGCAGTACATCATATATGTCCACCCAGAAGTCAACCTCAGGAACAAGCTATAAAGCATGAGAATGATTGTTCCAGTCATATTTAGAAACCACTTACCTCTACACACCAGCTAATGTTTCTCTAGCGGTGAGCAGCCTTGAAACTTCAAACATACTTCAAAACCCGTATAATTACTGACTGTATTTTACATAGCTGTACTGTACAATAAACCAACATCCACAATCAAAAAGATTCTAAAAGTTCTCTCACTATAACTAGTAACATAAATTATGTCATTAGAGGCTCAGGAGTTACAAAAATAAAGATTATATTTATTCATTTCCTGTGAATAGCCTGCCACTATGGATCAAGTGAGATTATTCTATTAAGATATAAACTATCATGATTACACAGAACCTAATGGGCAAAAACTGGTTGAATCAACGTTGTTTCCACGTCATTTCAACAAAATAATTCAATGTGATGTCGTTGAATCAATGTGTAAAAATGTTGGATTTGCAAAAAGTCATTCCTTTTTTTCCCACCAAATTTCTTACCTAAATCCAATGGCATGGTGAATTGTTTTGTTGATTTCACGTTGAATTCACGTTAGTTGACAACTCAACCAAATGTAAATCAAAACTAGACGTTGAACTGATGTCTGTGCCCAGTGGGAACACTGTTCACTGGAGACAGATTAATCATATACTGTACTGTACTATACTGCACTGTACTACAGTGTGTCGAATTTAGGAGGGTTATGCTATAACAACATTCATCTGATGGAGCTGATTTCTACTCACAGCAACCACAGACATTGGACAAGCATTAACAAGTACTGGAAGACATTAATCAAATACATGATAAATACATAATATCCTCCAATTATTTTATTGATTATTATTTTATTTAGTATCAGGTATACTATTAGCAGTAGCTACAGCCCAAATGAAATGAAACAAATCTAATTTCACCAAACAGCACCTCTGAGATGATGATATATTGATCCTTGTGTGGGTCTGTGACGGTGGGGTCTTTTCATATTGTATAACACTCCTGCAGCAGTGAACAGTTGGCGTCTTTGCCAGTGGACTCCTCTGCAACACTGCCCTGTGAATTTTGACAGCCTTCTGATGCATGCCTCTTCTCTCTGGAGAGCGGTGCGGAACTCAATGAGGCCATCAGCAGCTCTCTATCAGCCTTGGTCCTCTTCCTGGAAAGTTCCTCTCAGTCCAGCCCCCCGGTCACTCAGCAGAATGGTGGTGATAGTGGGGGTGGTGTGTTATAATGGGTCACAACTACAGTACATTGTATACAATGTATTACCCATAGCTTTGCACTGGCAATGGAAGCTAGTATGTAATATCTATTTCTAAAGAATGGATAAAGGTTTATGGATAAAGGTAAATCTGTCTGCCCTGTTGGATTCCCTTGTTTCTATTCCATACTGAAGTAAGTCTGACCAACTTATAGCTATAATATTTAACTATCTCTTCCTCTTTGTATGTTGACTGACTATACAGTCTAACAAGAGCTTTTGACAAAATTAGAGAATACAGTACATTATCTTAAATATGATCTTGCCCCTTTAAAAAAGCGACAGCATTAGTTAAAATATGTTATCCGAAGCAAACTCCTTTCAGACGAAACTATTGAGTAAAATATACTGAACTTGTAGCTAAATCTCAACCCTTACATAAAGCATCCCACAGAGGGTATGTGTGCATAAGGGTAAGTAAGGGTGACTGACAGAGACCTTTCAGCTGGGGTTGACCACATCTGTGGCAGGCGTGGGGGAAATGCATCCAGGGAAGTGAGATTGAGATCAACACACACAAAGTCACTCTTTGTCTGCTCTACCTAGCGCACAGCCAGTGGGCCTGAGTAGTTTAACATAAGGGCTTGCTCAGCTTTCATTCTTTACTGCTCCTGCCTGGAAAGGATATGGGTTTTCTACAAATTCGGTTCTTGAAATGTTGAATATGAGTGCCTGCATTCTGTGGATAGATGAACATGTGTAATAGCTGTATAGTGTATATAAAAAATATGAATGTTTCAACTAGTTAATACGTTTTTTTTTTTTTTTGGGGGGGGGCTGTAGAAATATGAAAAGCTTTACTACTAAATACACCAGGATTTAGCCCTTTCTCACACAGTAATGCCCTGTGAACCTGACAAACACATGTTGGATCTAGGACAGTAAGACAGTACTCTCTCTGACATCCAGACAGAATACCAGTAGTTTCCAGTACATTAATGGTGGCTTTCTAACAACGTGAGGTAGTGCTTTATAAACTACATACCATACATCTACTGTATTATGAACAGTAGCAATCAATGGAGAACTGATAAGGTTTTCATGAAACATATCATAATTGCTATACTGTATGTTCAGCTAAAAGACATGCTATGAAAGTCCCAACTGTCCTTTCAGAATTGACCATTGATAACAATGATTTCTTCACAAATGTAAATAAATAATGCATATTTTGGCTGTCTCACCATTTGGTTTGTGCTATGAAATTCTCTGACGCACTCCTGGCCAGCCAGGCTTGAACTGTAAAGATCTATGAATAAAGGCTATACAATTTTGTATAAAATACTTACAAATTTAAAAAACAATACAACATTTGAAATATCATAGAATTAAAACCTTTACCATGCATGCACATGACATATTCTTCTGTTCTGATACAAATATCTATGAGAGATTGCATTTGTTAGACATTCAACTTATTTACAACATGTTATATACATCCAATATACAGTCTTAAAAGATCTACATTTGAACAGTGTATCTTTATATACGTTGTGCTCAAAGTGAAATGAACAGCCTTAAGAAGCTGAGGTGCAGCTTAGCAAGAAAAGGAAACCATAAGCAATGTAATTACTGGCCGTGAAATGACTGGGTGTTAAATGACAAGTGCTCATTTTCATTGCCAGTGTCCTTGCAATGTGGATTCAAATGACTGCAAATACTCTGAATGCTTTGCCACCTGAGGGATTCTGTAAGCTGGGAGGAAGAATATACACGTGTGTAAGTTTGCATTCAGCTAAGAACAGTTTACATAGTCAAGCCAAGGTACAGTATATGACACTGATACTAGCCTATATCTCTATAATGTATCTGGCAAGGCAAGGAGTTTTTCTGACCACATGAGCTGACCAGGAAAGAATCCTGGCCCCTAGCCATTATGCATCCAAAAGCATTTGCAACAGAGTCAAAACCCCACAATTGGCCTGCGTTTCCCTTATTCACGTCCCTTACCTTTCTGAAGAGATTCCGTTCTGATAGCTACCGCTGTACTGTCTCCTCTTGTCCACGGGCTGCACATCCAGGTAGCCTCCTGAGTCATTCTGAATGACACCAGCATGGATGGCTGCTCGACATATACTGGATTTCTAGAAAAAATAAGGTAGGTTAGCGTAGAACACAGTGAAATAACATATTTGGAGGCCATTGTCAGACATACAGTACATACATACATACATACATACATACATACATACAGACATACATACAAGAACTTACATCCGAATACCATTGTGTTCCAATGACTCTGGCACGGGTCTCATGCAGACAATTGCGGGGGCAATACATCCTGGTGGGGGAAAATAGCTATGAAACACAGTACCTATCCAAACCAATCAACTTTACAGTAGAGGTCAAGTTTGGTTTATTAGAATGTGACCTCTTTCTTTACCTTGGACAGTGCCGTGCAGGTTTTTTGTAGGGACAGAACCGTGCAACGGTGGTCTCACATGTGACTGCTTTTACTGAGGAGCAAAGATGCCACAATGTCATTCAAACAATACATGCATTACTGAGACATAAAGGTGCACAACATGATAGTAGACCAGACATACCTGGTACAGTAAATATGTTGAAGGCATTTGCACTCCTGTTCATCCTGTAAATTTGAATCATTTGTTGTGAAAACGTGTCACTTGTTGCTTTGGCTTTATGACAAGCATAATGGAATGAGTAAAACAAACATAATGGAATGAGTAAAACAAACATAATGGAATGAGTAAAACAATCATAATGAAATGAGTAAAACAAACATAATGGAGTGAGTAAAAGTTGAACTCACGCAACAGACTGAATGCCATTTTTGTATGACTTTGTGAAATGTGGTTTTCTTCCTTGTCTTGTAACGTCCAGCCAACCTCCACCATCGTCTATGATACCAGCGTGTAAACCAGCTCCACAAACACTTGATTGCTGAAAAATGTAACATGTTTCACTACTCTTTATACCAGGGTTCCCGAACTGGTGGCCCGTGGGCCAAATTATTTTATTTGACCACCCAAGTTTACTGAGCACATTCATTTTTTGTGTGAATTTTCATTGTTGGACATAAAAAACTGTAAAAACACCAGGAAATCAGCTCCAAGTTATTTTAATTTAGGAAATCTGTTCCCAAGTATTCCCACACATAAATAGAGAGACATATGTGATCGTATCCCAATATAATCACATAATAATTTGTACAGATACAAAATAGTGTTTTCTTTTCGTACCATATCATAATACCCGGTCCCTATTACTTTTCCTGGGCTGGACAAGCATCCAGGAGGACACTCATACCTGCAAGAAGAAACAAGAGTTATAACTCAGCTTTGACCAATTCACAGGAATGAGTGAGAACTGGTAAGTGACAGCATCAACTTTAGGAACAACTTAGTCCTACCTATTACAAGTGGTTCCTTTACAACGATCACGCAGCTTGGTCTCACAGTCCATCTGTTGACCTTTGAAAACAAGAAAACCAATCTCACTTAGATTCTGGAAATGATACCAAACATAGACTTATCTGTCAGGTGACAGACATGTCCTACTGTACAATGACATTGTATATGAAATACAGTGCAATAAAATGAGAGATCAATTCTTACACATTTGCTCTGTGCTGACCACCTCATTCCTCTCCACGTTGTCATTGGATGATGGTGTAGGGGGCAGTGGTCTGGCCCTCGGCTCTTGGGCCCTCGGCTCTGGCTGCGGCTCCGGCTCGATGTAATTTGTCTCTTCTAGTTCAGGGGCAGGACGTCGCTGTACTCCGTTCTCTGAAGAAGAACGAGCCACATCACATGTAATATGCCCTGCAAAACAAAAGTGTGAAAAGCAACCAATTTGTTTTGCACAAAAAAAAGCAGCCTACCTTTGTAGCAGAGATTGTCCCTACAGCCTCCACCGTAGCTGGGCGGACAGGCAGAGCATGGGCGGCCATGTTTGTATGGGGCATGCCCCCACCAGTTTCCCCTGCACACAAATGACATCATAAAACACACTGAACCTTTTGACCCAATCCCTCCCAGTTCCAATACACTACATAATATACAGCAATTGAAAATAACATTTTTTGGGGGAAAACAAACATAAGAATAATTTTTTTTAAATTGGAAAACTTACGGCGGTGAGTAGTTGCAAACCAAGTACACAGCTTTAGTCCATATCATGCCCCACACATTCATATTGTAGCACACATTGATAGCGCATCCAATATGACTGCTTGTTGCCCAAACCATCTGCAAAGACAAACAAAGTAGCTACCTTCAGATAATGGTCCTCTCAGACTTCTCTGGCCTTAAATAAGGTGTTATGATATTGTCATAGGAAACTCTTACCTGTGTGTAGTGAGTGCAGACGGGACCAGAGCATCTGAAGGGGCAGTGTGGGTTACATTCCTGTGGATAAGGATAGCTGTAGTCTCTCACTTCATCATACCAGGCTTGGACGTGAAATGTTGGTGGTCGGTCTCTGAGGAAAGTGGAAACAAAACAATTGAACTAACTGGACACAACCCATTGCAATATATCAGTACTCTGTACTCTACTGTTTAATCACACATTTGTTGCCTCATGAGTTTATTTGACCCCACAACTGTCATTCATCCTGTTAAATCTAGGAGTAATCATGTTAAGAAATGGACATAAAGTACTACTGTATAATGACATAATGCATATAATCAAACTGGTCATCTCTCCTGTTACTATACAGACCTTCCCCAGTGGGCACCCAGGTTCTGTCCAATCTGTGTTAGCATGTGTTGTGGTCCATGCTCCCACAGGCAGGTGTGTGCCCAGTGCTCAGCACTCCTCTCCAGCTCCGTATCCCAAACCTTTCATATGTGAAAGTCAGAGTTATTCTGATAAGCTAAACACATATCTGCAGGCACATCAGATTGGCGCTAGTGCTGCTGAGACTACAACTCTTAAAAGTGCTTGTATTAGTGTTAGTTAGACTCTAGAAATACAAAATTCTTGATAAACAAACATTGTAAATGCAAATCTAAACATTCTTCCCAGAAAGTATTGGGGAACCTGATGGCATTTTTAGTACTACTGGCCTCTTTGCATCAACTCTGCACTAAAGAGCACCAATCTGCACATGATACAGATCTTGTAGTGGGTCAATTGAAACTATAATCTATTTGTGCACCACTTGTTTCTGACAAAGAGCTGTGGATATGATGAGAGGACTTCTAATGTTTCAGCCAAGCTGTAATAAAATTGTCCATTAGAAGAATAGGTGTAGTGTGCTGCTGTTCTGCTGTATAACTGCACTAACACCCATCAAGGTTGACTGAAAAAGGTGCCAGTCGGCTGCCCTGTACAGTCCTAATGTCTTCCATGTGTAGTACATTACATTAATGATATCTGCATTCTGCACTGCTTAGGGTTAGTGCAGTGGGCTTGAAGGCTATGGACATACTGTAGGGCTGGATACTAATCTCCGTTAATACATGGGAAATCATCCAGATTATCCAAATAGTGTTGGATATTTACATTAAGACATCGAAATGATGTCCTCTAAAAGGCAAATCCTTTGCGTTCTTCTCAACATTTACAGTGAACCCCTCCATCTGGGAACAGTACTTTACATTGCTTCCAGGAATCCTTTGCAGAAACCTATATTTGAACAACCATACTTCAAAGGATGATGCTCAACTGTTAAAAGTTTGAGTCAACACAGATCCATCTTTGTTGCCAAATGAAATGCAAAGATTTAACAAAGACTAATATTTGAAGATGTGAGTTTAAATGGTTGAGGCAGAGTGCACAATAACAGTGGAGGAGAGAGCTGGCCGGTAGCCAAGGCAGGGGCCAGAGCTTGAGGTTTGACAGGGCCAGTAACATACTGGTTTTATTGCTTGGCTGTTGGTCAGGCTTGTATTTAGGTTTTTATCTATCTGAGCACTCTGCACCCTGCAGTGGTGGGAAATGGACTCAATTGTCATACTTAAGTAAAAGTAAAAAGTAAATGCTAGACATCAAATTCCTTAAATTAATTAAGCAAACCAAACGGCAGAATTTTCTCATATTTTTTTTTCATTTACGGACAGCCAGGGGCACACTCCAACACTTAGACAAAAATTTACAAATGCAGTTTTTGTTAAGTGAGTCTGCCAGATCAGAGGCGGTAGGGATGACAAAGCATTATACAGGTAGGTGTGTTGTGGATTGGACCATACTGCTGTCCTGCCTGAGCATTCGAAAGTACTTTTGGGTGTCAGGGAAAATGTATTGGAGTAAAATGTACATATTTTCTTTAGGAATGTAGTGGAGTAAAAGTAAAACTTGTCAAAAATATAAATACTAAAGTAAAGTACAGATACCTCTAAAAAAAACTACTGAAGTAGTACTTCAAAGTATTTTGACTTAGTTACTTTACACCACTGGCTCCCAGAGCTTGGTGTGAAACCTCTGCATTGGCCCTGACTTTGCAGATGTGATCTGCTGAAACCATTCTGGTTGAATGGGTTTGAGAATGTTCCAGATTCTCAAGCCTAGATGTCTTGAGTCCATGAGCAAGTATCACACATTAGCTTAGATTAAGTATCAGTGCAAAATAAGTAACTAACACTTGCTTCAATCTGTAGTAGTGTACAATCTCCTTCTACCTTCTTCAGTATGGGCAAGTGTCATATTCTAATCGCCTACAGTCCATCTTAGGACAACCTAAATATAACATAAATATAGCAGACACAGTAGGTCCTGGTTTAGCTTTCTTACCATATACTCCATATTTGAAGCTTGAGGATAAACTTGACCTCTGAGTTTGTTGTGCAAATCGAGGATGAGGTGCATATCACCCTCAGTGATGGCTCTCTTCCCTCTCTGTTTGGACACCCACCACTCATCATTTTTGTTCATATACTTCTCCAGTATCGCTTCCAGGTGAGTAGAGTTAGGGATCACCATAGAAAGTACTGTTCGGGCAAAGAATAGCAACCCAAACCCTCTCAGCCAGTCCTGAGGTACACCCTTCATGATGACGATCAGCCTCTCGAGCCTCTGTGATTCACTCCAATACAAAATCTGTATTCTGTTGGCTAAACAAAATAAAACATGAAATACAATATGATGGTTGGTCAAGCATTCCGAGATCTTTATTCAATTCAATATTATTGATTATTGATTTATAAATTAACTTGAATGTGAATACTGATGAATTATCACATCACTGGCACATGGATATCATATATTAGAATTAGAACTGTAATACTGTACATAGCTTTGGTGTATTTTAAGCTATTGACTGTAGGTCAATTGCACTGTTCACACAATTTCTCAAAAGGAAAATACGTTTTAGCCAAGCACATGCAATATTTCATGAGCATGCGTATTGCGTGTGAAATTATCTCACGGGCTGACAAGGCAAGACAATTCACCTCTGATCCTGTTATAATACAAAGTTATAATACAAAACAGTATTTTCGTTATCCCAGTGTCGAATATAACATTTTTAAAAATCATGTACCTTTTACCAAAAGTTTTTGTTCAATCTGGTCAACTATCCCCGGGAAACAATGTCCAGGTCCAAAAGTTGTAGTGCAGCAGAATGGTGAACATGAAAGCTACTCTTCATACATCCTAAGATTTAGGACATCAATAGGAGCCTAAATGTACGTAATAAGCAAGTAAGTTCGGGAATCGTACATCCACCAAGGAATCGAGAGAGAGTACCTGTATAATCATTCAAGTATGAGCGCTCCCTGCGTTTATATGCCAAATTTGGATTTAGCGATGCGTAACGCCGCAGACCCCGCCCTTGGCCTCCTCCTGTGATCCCAGATTGAACTATTGGAAGACTCTGGTCCTGATCCCAACCACCCCACTCATGTTACAGCAAGGTAAACTTTGGGTAATGAAAGCCCACTCAAATGTACATTCAGTTTTACTTTAGAATAGTATTTCCGTTTATGTGTGTTAGTAAGATTTTGAGATGTTCAAAAGTCACATTTACTGTAATGGGATTTGAGTTGAATTGAGTCTTATTGGATGAATTAACTATTACTGTACTATACACCCCAAACATCACTGTCTATGTTATTACAAGCCTCTCTAGCTTTGTGCCTGCATCCATGACACTAAGAAAAGCTTCACTCAGTCCTTGCTGTCCTCCTATATTCCCTGCCTTTTTTTAAGCAACACAACCCAACTGAGCTCTGGAACTTAACGGTGTCCAAACCCATCAAAACTGATTAGGCTTTTTCCACTTCAGTCAGCATCAACCCAAGTTCGAGACACAGACTCTGTTCCTCAGGTGGGTATCATGGAGATAGCTGGTATCCTCTGGGTAGAGGGCATGCTGTGCTCCCTGTTTTATGAGTGCATTCCTGGGCATCAGATTCTCAGCACCTTAGGTCATGCTGACTTCAATCCTGCCTTCCTAATAAGACGTCAAGAGGAATCAATCCACATGACCAAGAAATGTCAACTCAGGTGGAAATGAAGTCAGTGCCCAGCTAAGAGCTGTAACAAGTTGCTGTACAGTGCCATGGTTGCTTCCAGGTGACTGCATTGATGGGGTAACTAGTACAAACAAAGACAGTTTGGGTGAATAAGTACCACTGCCAATTCAAAGTTGCCTACTAGGGGAATTTTAATCCCATTGATAGTCTTCTTCAGTTCTTTACAGTAGAGATGCAGACACTCCATGCTAGGGGCAATTGGGTTCTAGCACTGCAAGACTCCAAGTCAGTGGGGAACCAAATAGGTCCAAGAGATAATTGGCTTATGGGCTGGGCCTAAACAAATTCTCTGTAATGATGTTGACCAGGGACATTATTTTTTATTCTATTTAGCAGTGTACAGAACATTTCAGCAGGTAGTTGACACTGTGTCTAAATAACCTTTTCTTGTGTTGTTTTCCCTATTATTCATTTCATTACTTGTCTTTATATGACTTATGTGCAACGTGTCCATAATTATCAGTCTTCACATAGGGACATTGTTGAATATTCACAAGGGAATATTCCACTGCAGGCTGAATTTATTTAGCTGCACCTTTTATACCTGCTGTAAACCGTGTAGCCTATGTGACTATTCAAATTGTATTGGATTTGAGAAAAAAACAAGTTTAGTTTGTCAGGCTCGCCCTCTGGTGTTCTCCTTTCCTCACTACAGCTGCCAAAACCTCTGCTAATGCAGTTGGACATTCCAAACACACTTTCTCAAGCAAGACAAACACTCAGTTACAGTTTAGCAGTCTTTATTCTATAACATTGGTACAGGCCATAGCAATTACATGAACACAAATATAAGTGAAATTCAATGGTGTAAAAATATGAAGCATCATGTAAATAAAAACAACAACATGTAATTCATGTTCTGGAAAACACTTTAGAAGTACAAAAATACAGTAAATCTTTAATAAAACTATATTTATCAATGTTGAAAATGCTACTGACATTTGCTACTGTAGGTTTGACCTCTGTACCAAATAGTCAATCAAAAGTCACCAACAAAAACAACATGATTGCTGATCAATACATTTGACCATCAATATGATGGTAAGACAACAATAAGTTGTACGCTACAACATAACAATGTATGATACTCATTTACATCTCAAAACCAAATCAAATGTAGCTTATAATTCTAAATGTGTAATTGTATAAAAAGGTACATTGTACATGTAAAGTACTTGGGAAAATACATTTGACATTTGAAGCCATGTGAAATTATGATATCTGACAGTTCATTATTTAAACAGATGTCAAAATGGTTTACTTGAACCAGTACATGTAGTTGGACATTATTGCAGGGAAACATTGGTTGTTACTACAGGAGCCTCCGTAGCTTGGTGGGCATGCTGAACATGGGATGCCAACTCTGTAGGGCGGTTCTCCTACCCAGTTCCCCCTTGAAAAGAAAGAGTAATAATGTGTAATCCTTGTTGTAGTTTAAAGATGCTCCCTTGGGCATTAAACATATCATTTTCCAATTTCAATTCATGGAGTTGTCATTTCCCATTTCACAAATCTAAAGCATAATAGTTATATTTTGCATAAAATAGCCGTGATGCTTTCATAATGACATCAGTTTACGTGAACACCTATAAATCTGTTCTCATTCGGTCTGACAATGTGTTTCTGAAATGTAAGAGAGAGGATATCAATCATTCAGCTGTGATAAGTGGAGCTTGTTAAGGTATTAAGCAGTACTCACTTTGGGGAATAATTGCAGACCAGGTATGTTGCTTGTCTCCACATGGCTCCCCAGACAACCATGTTATAACAAGTTTGAACTGCACACCCAACTCTGTTTGTTGTAGCCCACACCATCTGAATATCAGTCAGAGACAGTCAGCGAAGTCTTTTGAGGATAAATATACTTTCCTGAAAAATAAGAAACTCCAGCACCCTGGTTATCCTGAATATTGCACACACGATTGAATTAATCTCATAGAAGCAATGTTTCGGTCAATAGACCTTCATCAGGGTCTTCATCAGGATAAGACTACCCCCAGATTCCCATATCTGAAGTGCCTTGATGGCTACTGTACCTGTGTGTAATGTGTACACATCGGTGCAGAGCACCTCATAGGACACCTGGGATTGCAGTCACGAGGGTATGGAAACATATAATCACTGACTTCATCATACCAAGGTTTGACCAGCTGCAGAATGGAGCGATATCTGGAAGAAACACATAGAGTACATTCATTTCGCGCCATAGCCAACATTGCATGAGGTTGGACTCAAAGATGACATTGCTCGGATCCCCCTCAATCAATAAAAACAATTAAAATATTATATCAACACGTGGTCAGTTGAGATATGATTGACACATCCCAGGCTTTACATACCCCCCTGTTCTGACCGACAGGTTCTGTCCCAGGTATCTCAGTAGAAATGGTGGTCCATGTTCCCAGAGACATGTGGCTGCCCAGGCTTCAGCAGATCTGGCAAGGCCTTCATCCCACACCTGTATGTGTTGCAGACATGATAATGCATTCATTGGGATTGAACCTAAAAGTACACAAAAGCCATGCATTGTGAGCTGCTCTCATAAATATCTACTTGAATTAACTTGCATGAATACAAAATGCACAAAACTGCTCATCAGTTATATTTTGATACCCAATAGAAACAGTAAAGCTTCTTGCAATCATATCGAACAGATGCCAGAAACACCCCCCCCCCCCAAAACAAAACACACACATTTATTCTGTGACCATGAGTACACAGATCTTATGTAGTAACCTTATGCTTCCAGCAGGGTGAGCCATAGACCAAGCCACAGTAGCCACATGACTCACGATGCCTACCTACATTTTAATTGGCATTTTTTTTTTTTTTATACAGTAAATTACCAGATGAAATCACAAAGGCAAAATTACACCAACAAATCTCAAATAAAAGTAGCCTACTAGTTTAGCATGTAAAACACTTTCAATTGAATCTCAATTAAAAACTTGCACTCACCATATACTCCATATTTGCAGCAGGTGGAAAGACATTTGCACGGACTTTATTGTGATAGTCAAGGATGGCAAGCATGTCGCTTTGTGAAATCCAGCGTTTCCGTCTAGCCTTGGGGATGAGCACAGAGTTAATGTCGGTGAAATTGGCTATTGAAGTGGAATCTGTCGAGTTATGGATGACCCATCCACTTGCTCCACTGGCTATGCAGAACAGGACCACATTGGTAAAATAGCACATGCCTTTCATTCTTCTCCAGTTTAGTCACACACTGTAAAGAAAAACAAAGAAAATAACAGTCTCGTTGGAAAGAAAACAGGTAGCCTACATTACTCTGGAGAATTATGGCATGCTCTTGAAATAAGTTTGTCAGTAAAAATGCAAAGGCAGAAAGATCACATCAATTCTTTAAAAAAATGTTTTGGCAGGCAAATAACTATACTATTCTAACTATCACTTCCCTGATTAGATTCAAAATATAAAATGAATGTTTGAGCCAAAATACATTGTTGAATAGCCAATGTCTTACCCGCAGCTCAGAAAGTCTCAGATGAGCCTGTTCAAAGTTTTACAATTCCCTTCTCTGTGTACTCTGTTCAGTCCCTCTCTCACTCTACTGAGACATGCCTCTGCCTTGGCCACAGTTTTTATAATCTGCCATTGCTCAAGGAGCATATGGTAAACAGTGTCTGAGATGTTAATGTCAACATTGTATCATTTGTATGCTACTTGCAACATTGTTTATTACATGCTTATTTATTGGAAATGAAATTGCATTACATTTAGGTCAAGTTAGTATTATATCCTTTATAACACTATAATAGCAAGGTGTCTTCTTTATGACTTCACTCAGTTGGTTGTCAGCATCACAATGCCATGCTTGTGGTTCACACTTAAACAACGATATTGTATTAGTGATCAGTCCATGATGCAGTTAACTTTCTGCTCTTATTTGAAATTGGATCAGGCTCATGCCTTTGAACAACAAAACCTTGTCAGGAAGAGACCAAACACTGATTTAGATAGTCTCAGGTTTTCCAACTACAGTATCGCAAGTCATTTTCCTGGTCTGAGGTCTCCTGTGCCTAGGGTTTTCTTGTCATGTTCATTGTAATGGAAGGATTACACTTGTTCAGTGGCTGAATCTACTGGCTGGGCACTCTCCCCCTCACCCCAGGAGAAAATCAGTGCCAAGTTGAAAAAAACTCAAGGCGGTCATAATTTTCTTTGCCATTTGGAAATGAACTGAAGCAAAGTGCTTCAATGATTTACCCCATAGTTGCTGTTATTTTGCTTATTTTGCTTAGCGCTTTTGAAAGTTTTATTGGAAGAATGACATACTTGTTTTCTTCCAAATACTGCAGTGATATAATAACTTGGCTGTAAACTCACAGCCATCTTTGGGTTCAATTGATTCAGTTAACTCACGTTTTAATATTGCAACATCAAGAATGACAAGTCATACACATCAAGGGAGTTGTGTCATATTTTATTGCCTGCAAAGAATAATACGTTAGGCTACAGCTTAGAAGAAACTAAAATTACAGTTCAAGTGATGTTCATTCATGGTAATTGAATGGTAGCCTACCATTCAAGGCAGTGTTTTCCTTTCTGAGCCACAAGAACTTAGTTCCCTGTGTGATTGATTGTACAGTGGAGCGAGATCACTAGGCAGGAGCTTTTGGTGTGACATCATCACTCTTTACACCAGAAGAGTGTAATTAGCCGCTTGGGATAACTTCCTGGACTCACAGCCTGGTTGGACTCAAGTTTAATGTTTGTTATACTATGGATTATAAAAATCTATTCATGCCTGTTAAGATTTAGACTCTCTCCCATTGCAGCTGTTCAAGGGACAGATTATTTTGACTGTGACCATTGACTTAGTTTTGTCCAAACCAAATATATTATTTTGGATGGTTTCATTTAAGATGAAAAAAAATCTTTCTCCATTTTTCTTTTCTTTTTCATTTCATGGTATTGGAGACGTGAATAATATTCCAGTAAAGCTGACCAAATTGGGGACACACATGAAACTACATGGTGGTTTAAAAGTATACTATATTCTTCAATTTGCCACTTGTGCACTCCACCCAATGATATTCTTACCCATTGGCAGGGGTTAGTCTAGAACCATAGACTTTACCATGCTGAAAGAATGAGATGTCAAAACTCTGCTGGATCCCAAGAAAACTATACAAGCTCACATCAGTTTTGGTATTTTTGACCCATTTTGGCCTGTGTTTCATTAGAAATCACTATTGCATTCACATCAATTACATTATATAAAAAACTAAATTAGTTATGGGATTTTTTTCCCATCTGGATTGTGTTTTGGTATTACCCGTAAATCATTCATATCAATGTACAATTAGTCTAGTCCAGTTAGATGTCTAAATATACAAGCTTGATGCATAATAAGGCCGCAAGCAACCCTAAATGAGATCTCCAGATGCCAAACAAATTACAAAGTTAGAATTGAAGGGTGACCTATAGAGCTTAGTAAAGAAACCACGTAACTGAGGAATGGGGTTCTTCAGGGATACAATGTCTATTCTCAAATCCCTTGCATTTTTTAACCTTCTGTCAAATGGAAATCAAATGGATTCCATTCCAAACCTCTCATGTGTTCTACTTTCACAATAATAAATACAAAAGATCAGCAACTGGGGCACAATGAGATACCTCCAGGGACATAAGAACTAAGACTACTTCTGCAGTGCATTCAGAGTCCCATGCAGTCCCAATAGATCTGAACCAGTGGCATAGGCCCATCTCCTGCCTCCGAGAGAGGGAGAGCTTGATTTATCCCCTTTTCTGTCCAACAGAAACACTCCAGTTAAACCCACAATATTTCTCTGTGGACTTAAGCATTCATCTGGTTCTTTTTAAAAATTAGCAACAGGTTTTAAGCTATTTCAGAAGAACCAGACAGTATGGGTAAAATGCATTCTCCCAAATGGCTGGTTTCAAGACTTACTGTAATTTGTGACTGAACTGACAAATGTCGTTTCTGTGATGACCCTACCCCAATTTCATACTGAAATAAAACAATTGGAGCAAAAACAATGATTTTGAATGACTCATATCCATTATATTATAGCTTTATGACATTCAAATGGTATATTGCACATGTTCACATTCTCAATATTATTATTATTTTGTAGAGAAATCAAGCATCAATACACTCCTTTACGTACTGTATATTTCCCCTTTGTTGGCTTGTTCTAATCTCAAATTGAGATAATGGGCTTTCTATGGCTTAGTATTCTAAATTCAGGCTTGGCCTTCTCACAGATTATCAAGACTTGGCAGGCCCGTAACAGCAAACTGGCCATCAACCAAAGATGATGACCATGAGAATGTTTTTTCAGATCATTGGCCTGTCTTACCTCAGACCCCACACTGCTGTGGCCAATATGTTACTCAAATGGGCGGGGCAGCTCTGCTCTATTGGCACGCACCCTCAAACCTGCTCTGCAAATTAGCAGATCCAACCCAAATGTAAATGCAAATTAAACAAGCTGCATGACGGACAGTGCAAAACATGATTATTATATAATTGTATTAACCTCATTCTAATGGGTTGAGAGCTCAACAAGCAAACATGAAAGGTCTCATGATCTCTGAACAATGTTATGGTTGATTTAACATGCTTTGCATAATGTAAGTAAACAGGTGTGGATGATGTGGGAGGAGGACTGTGAGAATATTTAAGAGGAAAGGTCGATGGTTGGCTGCCACTCACACAGAACCAAACCTCTGAGCCAAAGCAAATCTGACCAGCTGGTGAAACACATCTGCTGGGTCGCATATATCTCGACTGTGTTGAAGCGAGCAGTACAAACAGAGTCCACTTTTGCTGTGTTGCTGTAGAATATCAAAATGCCCCTGACATCATAGTGGCCCTGGCTGTTTCGTAGAAGAGCAGATGTTTGCATTTACTGACTGACAACCTTTTCTGTAATTTTCTGTTTTCATCAACCTCAAGCACAAGGATGAAACAATAGCAGCTATGATTATATGATGGAAAAACCAAGAGGAGAAAGAAATGATGAATCTCATTCGCCTTGATTGTGAGCTAGCTGACAACTGAAAAAACACCCGATACCCACAGCCCCCTTCCTCAAGCACAGTTCCAAAGCCTTTCTCCAAAATGAAAGTACTGTAAGTCTAAACTTCTTTACTGGTTCTGAAATCACTTCTATTAGAATGACATACACACCATTGTCCCATTTTGTCCCAGAGCCTCTCAATTCCTATACTGGGAATCAGCTGTGAATGCTGGTTATTTATCAACCAATTGCTCCTAATAAAAAGCTTTAGGATGAACAGAACAATTAGCAAAGATTTTATATCTCTTGTTCTTTTTTTCCGTTTTGAAATACAGTAAAGTAGGTGATATTGGATAGATAGTTTTTCTCTCTACATCGTCATCTTGGGAGTGTTGGAGAGTTTGACAAATGTTTAGCTCTGGTTCTTATGGTTTTGTTATACAGTAACTAGTCCGAATAGTGAAAGTTTAAGCACTACATCCTCTGCACACATAAGAATAGATTTATTGCTTGTTTTATAGCACAGTGGTTACTTTGGTTTGGCCTGAAGCTGGACTGGGAATGCAGTGCTGTCCCAGCATAACCTCTGCATTGCTTTGTCAGTAAGGATTGTTGGCAGAGGAGGTACCCCTACACCTTCTATCAAGTGGGCAGTTTGAAGGCCATACATCTACAGTATGAATTGCATTGCAATATGGGGGTTAAAAACTTTACACTAACATTATGATTCCATGCATGTAATTCCTGAAGTTTGACTGAATCTTTAGACTTTTTTGAATAATTTGTCAAACATGGCTGATTTGATCAAATTATGGATAAATACTCTCTTTTCCATTTGGTCGACCAAATAGTTGCTTGAAGATCCTATCAAATCCTTAACACTCAGAAAACTCTGTGTGGGAATTCTAAAACTTTTTTCCTTCGATGACAAACTACTGTCTAACAAGAGCTATCACTGTTTCGTGGCTATAAAGCATCATTCAGAGGCATGAGAATCTGGCATCCTTTCGCTTTCCAAAATCAGCTTAAAAAGTTGTTTAGTCTTTGTTAGGAGTTGGCATAAAAAGAATGCCAACACTAAAGGTACAAAAACTCCATGTCCCTCACAGAGAGCAGGAAGTAGCTTAGCCTTTGCTCTTTTAGCTGATATAATAGGAGAAAGGTGAGTTTTGTAAATGCATCAGTAATACCGAA